CATGCTTGCATTAGAGTCCCCTGAGGATGAGCCTGGGAACCGGGCGCTTGGGCTTGGGCATTCAAGTGGCCCACAAAGGGACAGAGCAGAGCCCCCAGGCTTCTCCACCAGAGCTCTGCAAAGACAAAACACGTAATTTTAGTAAATTATTTCCTGCAATAAAGGTGCTAATCAGTAGGATAAAGCCAAACAGGACTTTAGCATGCATTGAAAAACAGAGATCGGACTTTCAGCCTGTGTGTGTCTAGGAAAGAGACAGAGCAAGAGAGACAGAGTGATTAACATATGGTGTGTGTGCAAAAGACTGCCTCGATTGCAAACACGGTTTGCCCTCTCCAGAGTGCATGAGTGTAAATATGAAGCGCTAAATACTGAAGATATATACCTTGTCTAAGCAAAATCACCACTAAATGTAGATGATGTCGCATCTTATAAGAGATATTTATATCTATTTCCCATGGACAGTTTTGTTATAAAAATTAAACAGTCAGTTTAGTTCATATTTTCAGATTTTCCAGACTTTCATGGAAGTCACAAAAAACTGGGAGACACCAGTGAAGGAAGAGGCAGCTGGGGAGCAGGGTTGGGAAAGAGGAAGGGCAGACCGGGCTGGGGTGGATAGAGAAAGCTCAAGGAATCTCATGGACTTGGTAAGTGTAAAAGTGAATAGCTAACCTAAGTGTGAGAAGTTCTTTAGTGTAAGAACTTTCTTACACTATTTTCCTGGGACTTTTGCTCTTAAGACTAGCACCATGACTTTCAAGTACAATGGGTCACTTCATGGTCCGCAGTGGCATAATGACACTCCACATCAACGAGCATGACTAAAGGGTGGAGTACAAGCTTCTATCTTAATGTGGTTAATTGCTACCCATTAGAACTTAAGCAGCCCTTACATGAAGTTTCATAATCCTCATAATCCACGTCCACAGGCACTATACCTAACCCATTTTATATGAATATGCAACTTTATGCATTTTCATCCTCTCTCCATACATATCCTTGCCAATAACTGCTTTTCTGATTTAACATCATATGCTCAATATTATGTGGTTTAAATCAAACTGAAAATGTGATCTAAGAATGCACCCAGTCTCATGTTTCTAAATTATCTGTGAATGAAAACTCAATTCATACTGGAAATATGGGTGATATAGGTGTCTTTCATTAAACAACACTTTAAAACGGGCGCTACAGGTTCTTATTTGGGGACACAGCAGCTCCTGGGATGTCATTCCAATCAAGCAAGACCCAGCCAGATAAAGCAGGCAACTGATTTTCTACATTTTTCTAACTTATTTTAAATAATACACTGAAAAGTTTACTGTTCAGGATGAAAAAAGAGGAAAAAAGAGAAATGGCGAGTTGAATTTGTTATACAGAGTTTTCCACAGCCGGATCAGGAAAATGGTTTTTTGCTTAATCTAAACATGTTATGTTTCAAAGATGTAGGAAACTGTTACAAGCTTTTCTTTTCCTATAAATAAAGCTGTTCTTTTCTCTTTATTAATCAAGGCCCTTGAACTGCCTCCCTTAAATGTTTGGTTTGTTAGAAACAACACAGAAACCACGTTCTTCTAAATACAGATAAAGGAGAGACTATTTATTTAGTTATTTCCATTTGTATTTCTTGGTGTATTTTTCAAAGAGATTGTATTAAATAGCCCCACAGAAGGCTAGAAGATTTTTTCCCACAATGGAAAACAATAACAATACCTCACTAATCAATATAAAAAGTCAAAATAAAAAATCGACAAGTATTATAACACATTCAGCAAGCAGGCCAGGGACATATTTGCCTTCCAAGAAAGAACACCTTAGGCTCCAAAGTAATAATATGGAATCAGACTCCCAAAGTGAGTAGAAATTCAACTGCTGGCCTTATTATCTAACAGTCACTTGACAAATATTCTAATAGAACGGATTTTCTAGGAAACTCTCCAGGTAAATATCCTCTGCATATAGTTACACAATGCCTTCCCCCGTGCTAGGAAGACAGGAACGATGTTGTTAAGATAGCTCTCGGCAGAGGCCTGGTTTTTCTGGACCACTGTCACTTTATGAGACAGCTACAACCTCACCATTGCTTTCTGTTAAGTAAGGCCTTACTAACAAACGGATTCAGGCACCACTAACACTTTAGACAACTGAAACACAAGAAGACACTACTGCTATATGCTACTCTCCTGCATATGAACAAACATGGTCTACTGATGGAGACAGAGGCAGGAGGCAGACAGGGGCAGGTCCCTGGTGAAGCCCCACCTTCAAACCAAAAAGCCTGAAACTCATGGCCCAAGGTGACAGCCTCTACTCCTGTTTGTCCACTGTCTCCTGAATGGTTCTTTCTGAATAATGCCTTTTTGCCCATCAAACGTTGCCTTTTTCAAAACTACCGATGGCCCGTCCTGTACCCCATCCTCTGCCTATAAAGACCCCAGTCTCAGTCAGTAGAAGCGAGAAAAGTGGTTTGACTGGAGAGAGGAGACTTGACTTCAGAGAGCGGCTGGACTTCAGGGAAGAGCCGGCCAGACGTCGAGGGAAGACTACCTGTTTGTCCCGTCCCCTCCACAGCCAGCTCCCCTCTCTGCTGAGAGCCATTCCCAAAGCTAAAGAAAATCCTCCATTGGTGCAGTGTGGCTGTGTCCCCTTTCAAATCTCCCCTTGAATTGTAGCTCCCATAACTCCCACGTGTTGTGGGAGGGACCCAGTGGGAGACAACTGAATCGTGGGGGTGGTCTCCCCTCCTGTTCTCATGGTAGCGAATAAGTCTCACAAGAGCTGTTGGCTTTAAACGGGGAAATCCCTTTCACTTGGCTCTCATTCTCTGTCTTCCCTGCTGCCATGGAAGACATGCCTTTCTCCTTCCACCGTGATTGTGAGGCCTCCCCAGCCACGTGGAACCAACCGTGAGACCATTACACCTCCTTTCCTTTCCTTTATAAATACCCAGTCTCCAGGACGTTTTCAGCCGCAGCATGACAACAGACTAGTGCATCCACCTTCACCATCCTTCAAGTGTCCACGCCACCTCATTCTTCCTGGACTCCAGACAAGAGCTCAGGACCCACTGAGTGCGGGTACCCAGAAAAGGCTGTTACACTGGCCCTTTGCCCTCGCTGGTGGAGGGCAGCTGCTCCACGTGATGAGGCAAAGGGCCAGCTGAGCTGATAACACACGGCTGTCCGCAGACGGCAGAGCTAAGACAGCACTGTAACACACCCTCTGGGCTTCAGGGGCACAGGCACCCCCACCTGTGTACCACAGCAACACCCGCACGAGACTGCTCCTGCCGGTGACCAGAGCAGCTGGTCTTGCTCTCTCACGTGCATGCTCCTTCCCGCAAGGGGTTGAGCGCAGCACGCTGAGTAAATGGAGCTTGCTCCTGCCAGTGCACAGAGCAGCAGCCAGCCGGATCCCACACCCGCTCACTCATGCGCTCCCTCCCGCAAGCAGTTGAGCATGGCGGGCCAAGTAAACGGAGCACCCTGTCACAAGTCCAATGAAAGGGTCGTGAAAAATCTGACATCAAAGGTGATGTTGCAACAAGCACACTTCCCTTAAATAAGATCTCAAAGTTTAAATGACATCTGATGCCTCCAGATTTGTGTCACATAAAATACAAAATGCTAGTAGAAGATGGACAGATAGGAAAGAAAGGACTGGGCAGCAGTGGGCAATTCTCCCAGCTCTGTCTATAACCTATGTACCCTGCCAGAGGCTCCTCACTCTCCCCAGGTCTCTGCATTAGCTGAGAACTGAGAGCTGGAATGAAGGTGAATTCATTCTGAGGACACGGGACAGAAGGGGCTGGAGACCTGACTGCATACTTTCCCCAAACACACCCTTTGCTTCTTTACCTGATACAGCCAATAGCACAGGTTCAGCAAGATCTGATAGCTATCTCAGCCAGTTTCTTACCTTTAAAATCTATAAAAAGTCTTCAAAAGTTTCCAGTATGTAGCAAGTGCTTAACATTTGGCAATTACATTTATTTCTAAAAGCCGTTTTGTTATTATTCAGTCTGTGCTCACTGTCCCCTGCCACCTCCACACACAAAAAAGGATGCAGGTATATGATGTTAAATTCTGCTGAATTTCAACGCTCACCCCGAACGATCTTCACGTCCTCCGGATTACCAGTAGGACCTTTCTGGAGCATCTGTGGGATTCGCTGTAGCAGGAAAACCTCTTGCCACTTTATACATGGCTTTTACTGAGTCCTGGAAAGAGGATGGACTTAGGTCTCTTGATTCACCCTGTCTCCCAAGAGCAAGGGGCCTTTTTTGTGGGCGGTAAGAGCCTTAAGATACTCTGGCCCAGCTCCTACCAATTAGCTTATCAGTCAATATGTTCTGGCTATAGTTGTGTTTCACATACTTTTATCAACGTGGGACCTCAGTGGGACCATACACTGTCATTTGTAGCAACCAGAACAGTGACCATGGCAGGTACTCAATAGAATATATGCTGAACGAACAATGCCACCCTGAGAAGTCAGAGGTTCTCTCCCTTGCTGTTTTCAGCCACCACTGCTATAATCCTGACTGCTGGACACTGGTTGAAAATGGCATGCATTGCCACTAGAGTGTTTCTTGTGAAGCTGCTTGAGCCTAGATGGAGGGAGGTGGGCATAAAAGCAGGTTGTAGAGGGGTCAGGTAAATACTTAAGATAAAAATATTTTAAAAGTTTGAACTGCTATCTATATCCCATAAAATGCAAATTTTTAGTAACTTGTGTTTGTGCAAATTGTTTATAGCTGTAAGCCATTAGCACTGCAGTAATTACTTAAATAGTAATTTTTGCTCAAAATGCAACAGTAATTGTAGACATTAATTACAGAATTTGGGTGGTATGTGGGTATTTGAGGTAAAATTTATTCAATTATTCTCTATGTTTAAAAAGTTTTATAATAAAATACTGGAAAAGATCTAACTGCCTATGACTTTATTCAGAAGTACAATACCATTTAATATAGCTGTATATATTTTTTCTTCAAGCTGAAATACTTCTTACTCATTTAAGTAACTTTGAAGACATCTTGATCTAGGAAGCAAGACTACAGGTGGATGAAAATGAATTGGAATCAGCAACAAGTAAGGACTTTTTATAAATCGTTGCAAAAATTTTTACAAGTCAGAGGTAAGCTTTATTCATATATGTATAGCGCACTGATGCTAATTTTTTACAGGGTTTATATTCTGTCCTTTACACAGATGGAAAAATCAAGATAAAACAGCTTGTCTAAGCTGAGAAACAATCTACTTGCACAGCAGGGATCACCAGCACCCACCTCACAACAGAAGGAGAAAATGCTCTCTGCTCTTCATTACAGAAATTCACTGATAAGTAAAAAAGTGTCAGTCACTTCATCTAAAAGTTTACTAAAATTTTTGCGTATAAAAGAGAGGGGTTGTGATACGGAAGAGGGGCAGGGAAGTGCCGGGAGGAGCAGGGCAGGTCCCTGGTAAGGGCTCCACCCCGGGGCCTATGCCCACGGACTAGGTGAGGACAGGCACTCCTGCCTTCACGTCCAAATGTTGCATTTCCCCAAGACCACCCTGGCCCACCACACCCCCATGCTGTGCCTATAAAAACCCCGAGACTCTAGCAGGCAGAGACACAAGCGGCTGGACATCCAGAGGAACACACAAGCAGCTGGATGTTGAGAGAATGTCAAGAGGTACCAACAGGCACCAGTACACCAGCAGTCCACAGACCGGTGGAAGTACGCGGGGTTTGGCCGGGGCGGAGAGAGGAGAGCTCCGGCCACTGAGAGACCCGACTCCAGGGGAAAACCGCCTTCCCACTCCACCTCCCTTCTGGCTCCCCCATCTGCTGAGAGCCACTTCCACTCAATAAAACCTTGCACTTATTCTCCAAGCCCACGTGTGATCTGATTCTTCCAGTATACCAAAGCAAGAACCTCAGGATACAGAAAGCGCTCTGTCCTGGAGATAAGGAGTCTAACTGAGCTAACACAAGCCACCCATGGACGGCTAAGCTGAAAGCGCGCCCTGTAACGCATGCGCGCTGGGGCTTCAGCTGTCAACATCACCTCTAGACACTGCCGCAGGGTGGGAGCCGCACAACCTGCCCATCTGCATGCTCCCCCAAGAGGTCTGAGCAGTGGGGCACGAATGAAGCAGGCCACACCCCATCACACGCTCTGCGAGGTGGATAAGGGAACTCTTCCCATTTCAACTGTATAATTAAAATGTGTGTAAATGAGACGGTAATAGGACTTGTTTGATCTACATTTGCAAACACTTCTTTATTCTAAAGTTGATTTCAGTGTCAGGGTGCATATATGTTTTAAACAAACAATACCTCTCCTTTTTCATTTTTATGACTGCTGACTTTAATTTTGGCAACAAATTCACTTTTAGTCATAAATCTCTGAAGTCACCTTATGTTAATACATTTAAAATTGCAAGGAATGATAATATTTCTTAAAATGGAGAGTACCAAGCTATAAATTCTTACTTAATAATCGTACCTTTTCAGAAACCAAGAAATTTAAACTTTGTTCAGAACACATAAATGAGAACTATAAAATGCTTCCTACATCATCAACATATTAGAAACCCAGGAGAGTCCTTAGTACACAAGACCCAGTTGTATTATGGAACCAATCAAGACTTGGATGGCAAGGAGAATGACTAACTTTCTATCTGTCTCTCCATGGAATCCAACCATTTCAAATTTTTATTTAAAGGGTAGAGTGTTTATGTATTTTTATTCAAAGGCTAGAGTGTTGTGTGAATATGTTGGCCTGTGGAAAAGGCTGTAATGAGACCATCTTGTCAAGCAATAATAAAAATGACTTCATTTGACACAACCTTTTTGCACCAACCCCTATTTGAGCCAAAATGTTTATAAAATATTTTTATTTTATGCTAATTCAAATGTGGGCTTGTTGTGCCAAGATGTGGACTACACTTGCAGCAGTGCTAGCTTGGCATTTGGGGAGTGAGATCACAGCAGGGTCCTTCTTTCAGATCTACTAGTTTACACAAGACTTTCTCCTTACTTACTTAACAGTCTCATTCATTTTCATAAGACTATTTGGCCTATTTCTGAAATATCACCTCCTACTCCAGCCAATTACAAAGGTTTACACACGTTCATTTAAAATATATGGAAAATAAAGACAGTATAAAGAAGAAAATAAACGTAACCTGTAAAAAGCACTATCAACATTATGGTATACCGTTTCCCTCACTATCAAAATCTATTAGATTCCTGACTCCTTTTTCACCTAAGTGCAAAATAATAAAATTGAATGAAATTTAATCTATTTGTTTCCTTGAACTTGGAGAAGATTTTGGATAAAGAATACCTATATAGGGCCAGGTGCAGTGGCTCAAGCCTGTAATCCCAGCACTTTGGGAGGCCACGGTGGGTGGATCATGAGGTCAACAGATCAAGACCATCCTGGTCAACACGGTGAAACCTCGTCTCTACCAAAAATACAAAACTTAGCTGGGTGTGGTGGCACGCGCCTGTAGTCCCATCTACTCACGAGTCTGAGGCAGGAGAGTCTCTTGAACCCGGGAGGCAGAGGTTGCAGTGAGCCGAGATTGTGCCACTGCACTCCAGATTGGCGACAGAGCAAGACTCCGTCTCAAAAAAAAAAAAAAAAAAAAATACCTATATAGCTTATTACATAGCTCTATGCAGATGCTGATGGCTAGAAGGCTAAACGATAAATAGATATTATTGAGAAAATAATGTATTTTTACAAAACAAGCCTCTTATTTTTTAGTAGGTAAGGTCATTTAGGTTAGACAAAAGAAAGTTTTGGCTTCTCTTGCCAGTATCTACTTTCTCATAATTTCTAAGTGTGGACCTATATAGTTTTCGATGTGATGTTCTGAAAATATATCTAAGGATTAATGTCATAAAATGCTTCTTTGTAATTATAGCTTAGAAGCACATATTTAAAAGATCTAGCCTGGGCACGGTGGCTCATCCCTGTAATCCCAGCACTTCAGAAGGCTGAGGCGGGCGGATCACCTAAGGTCAGGAGTTTGAGACCCACCTGGCCAAAATGGTGAAACCCCATCTCTGCTAAAAAATCAAAACTTAGCCAGGTGTGATGGCACATGCCTGTAATCCCAGCTACTCGGGAGGCTGAGGCAGGAGAATCGCTCGAACCTGGGAGGCAGAGGTTGGAGTAGGCCGAAATCATGCCACTGCACTCTAGCCTGAGCAACAGAGTGAGACTCTGTCTCAAAAATAAATAAATAAATAAATAAATAAATAAATAAATAAATGATCTTAATGTTGCAATGTTCAAAATTTAAAGTCAAAGCTAATTATTTTGTGCGTAACAGAAATCACTATTAGGTGTTCAAACACACACACATTTTTTATTATTATAAACAAAAAGAAGATCGCAGGTGAGCCTAATCTCTGCACTAGCAAACAAACTAATTGTTTGCTTTCTTTGTAGGCATTACGGTTTCTTTCTGAATTGCATAAATGAACAAGAAAGCTGGGTCCGGTTTCCCAGAGAGGGACCACTCAGGACGGAAACAGACTCATGAGCACAGGAAATCTGTGAGCGCTTGAATAAGGACAGGCAACTCCAGGGAAAGGATAATGTCTCTACCATGCTTGCTCATGTCTGGTCGCAGAACCAACACGGATATTTAAAAGCAGGGAGGTCAGGACAAGGTAAAATGTAACCACTTGTTTATAGAAGAAAAATCATACTACTTGTATATGTAATATATGCAAACCCAAAACAGCATGTCTAGGAATCCCAAGAATGAAAATCTGAATTTCCCTTTAACAATATCCATTATTTTACAAGAGAATCGTTATTAACATCTTTCTCTCTTGTTAATAGGTAAAGCTCCACGACACGCAATCTGACATGTTAAGAAGTGTGTGATGTTAATAACCAGACTCTTCAGCAGCAGAAAGCAAGGAGTTCCATAAGAATATTACTCGGGGCGGGATTTAGTAGAATAATGTAAGTCCGAGAATCTTGGATTATATACATTGAAATGAGGTAGTATTTCTAGACGATCTGAAAACTAGTACTTTTATACCCCCAAAATAAAGAGGAGCACCATTCAAACATTTTTTCCATCTATCTATCCATCCAACATCCAGCACAAATAATTAAAAGAATATTTGTGAAAGTTTTCCTCATTCAAGTACCAATCAGTGTAAGCTACCTGTACTTCTGAACTACCGATCCCAGAATTGAAAGTAGCATGAGTGTAAACATATCTGCATCGGCAAAGGTTTGTATGCCCCCATCTCTAGGTCACACTTTTTCACTGTACGCTTGGCATTTAGAATATCAATGGATACGGGTATTTTCAAGAATGTAATGTGTCAGTTCCTACCTCCACATAGTCCTTGGCATGGCCCCAATCTCGTTTGGCATCCAGATTTCCCAAACTGAAACATTCCAGTTGTCCAAGGTAAATCTTAGCTACTGACCGGCTAATTTTTCGAGTAACGAAATTAGCTCCTAAAAAGAGGCAAAAGATGTATTATCAGTCAAGTGCATTTGACACATTTAACAGTTTGGTGAACCAAACCCAATTTCGGCCTCTGGGCATTTCTTTCATTCTGCACTCCCAGCCACCCTGTTAAAATAATAAAAGAAAAGAAAAAGAAGAAAGATCATTAACTGTCATTTAGACAAGTTAAGAAGCCCTAATTCTATGTGTCACATCAGCTCTACTTTCATAACAAATGTTTTTCTTTCGGGGACATCTTAACATTCCTAATTTGCTGCTTCAATATGCAGCCCAGGCATTAGGCCAAAGAAAAGCTGTTGGAATGCCAGTTTTTTTAACAGAAAATTCAAAAGGGTTGTATAAAGGGAAATGCCAGAATGGACGACAGACATCTAAGACCACCCTGATTTTTTTTAAGAACACAAACATCATATATTCCTATTAATAAAGCTACTTTGGGACTCATGGGGAGAGAAAGAAACATAGCTTAGTTCACAGGGTAACTAGTTAAAGGAAACAAGAAAGGAATTTATTTGGGCTGCCTTTCTCTTAACAAAATAAGTGGTGATGGCTCTTACTCAGAAACCTGCACAGCCATCCAAATGATATGATATGGCCCCCGGGCAAAAGTTTCTCTGTACTATACTTAAGGCAATGCCACTTTCCAACTTCATTTCAGTGTTATCTACAGAAAGGGCTCCTACATTTTGTGTAATATTTTGAAATGATTGGATGAAAGGGACCATATATTGATGAAAGTACTGAAATTGTTTTAATGTTCTCTGGTCTTTAATGAAAACTCTACCTGCTTTTAAAAGATCACAAAGTTAAAAGGCACTTCTGAGACAGTTTTACCTTGTATCAAGGTAAGGTTATGAGAAAACACC